TACCTCTAGACCCATCTCGGTACCTCTAGGCCCTCCACCGCGTTGTGTATATGCTGCTCCCTGGGAGCCCAGCTCTTGTCTCTGCTCTCTCCTTGGGAGCCCTGGTGAGCTGAAGCCCATGGGGTGGGAGGGTGTTTCCAGGAGGTAGGTGAGCGCTGCTCCTCGAAGTGATCCTCACTGTGCCCTCAGGCGCTGAGTCTCTCAAGGTGTTCTCCTTTTCCAGCTGATTTCACAGGATGAGGCTGACCGGCGAGGGAAGGTCTATGACAAGTACATGTCCAGCTTCCTCTTCAACCTCAACAACGGTAACTCACCCCGGGGCTTTGAGGGGTGGAGGAGATTTGGGCTTCCTGGCAGGGGGCTGGTAGCCAGGTGGGCAGTCTCAGCCTGTCTGTCGCTTGAGCAGCAGGCCTGTCTTTACAGTCTTTTTTTTTTTTTCCTAATAGATTTTGTTGTTGACGCCACCCGCAAAGGAAACAAAATCCGCTTTGCCAATCACTCGGTGAACCCCAATTGCTATGCCAAAGGTGAGATATCCCTGCCCAAACAGATCTCAGTGGGGGAAGGTTCTCTGGGGGTCCTGCTCAGCTCGGGGATTGCAGCAGGTTCTCTGGGGTCCCAAGTCACCCTGAGCCCATAGGAGCAGCAGAGCTTCAAAGACCTGGACAAAGTCTCCTCCTCTCTACAGCAAATCATGTTCTTGCTGGTGAGGGCCCCACTCGCCTCTGCGGTGGCCCTGGTCTCGCAAGGAGAGATCACTGCTGGAGAGTGGCTATGAGCTCCCCAGGGAGTGCCCTGTTCCTGCTAGGCAGGAGCTCGGGTACCGCGGCCCCGGGGAGCGGCAGCTGGGCGGGCAGGGCAAAAATGCTGCGAGACCCCCTGGCTTGAGCTGGAGCTGCATGTCTCTGATGTTGTCTCTCTGGTTGCAGTTGTGATGGTGAACGGAGACCACCGGATAGGGATCTTTGCCAAGAGGGCCATCCAGGCAGGAGAGGAGCTTTTCTTTGATTACAGGTACCTCGGGGAGCGGCCGGCTGGGGATTGGGGTGCAGGGTTGACCCTGCTTGCTGTGCACACGTTTGTGGGGAGCGTGGGAGGTCATTACAGCAGCCGTGACTTTCCTATCTTGTAGGTACAGCCAGGCAGACGCCCTGAAGTACGTCGGCATAGAGAGGGAGACTGATATCATCTAGGCTCCGTGCGGGGCGGGCCCCAGCACACCTTGCTGCTGCACCTTCTAAGCAATGCCATGTTTGCTTCACGCTGACATGACTGCTGCTGTTCCCGTTGCTGTCTGTGTCACAAGTGCTACTTTCCATCCAGACGCCCAGAGAGAGACTCGGGGCAGGAGTGTGAGCGGCTGCTGCCGGGGTGGCAGCTTTGCCAGCCCTGGGCTTAGGGCAGGCTCTGGAGCCTTGCTCTGCGGGTGGTCTCCCAGGCTGGAGGGAGCCTGTGGACCAAGGCAGCTGGGGCTTGAAGAAAAGCTGTGGTGCAGGAGGAGGGACAGCCGCCAATTCTCAGTCTCTTTCCATTTTCTGCCGGCTGCTGGAAGAACAAGAGTGAGTGAGGTACCACCTGCACCGAGTCCCAGAGCACAGCTGGGGCCTGGAGGGGTTGATGCTCCCTTCCAACCCTGTCCCCTGGAATAAGCTCTGATCTCAGGTGCTACCTTTTGCAGCCTGTTTTGTCCTGTTGACAAGGACAGCGACAGGGTTGGAAGCCATAGAGACGTGGCTGCAGCAGTCCCCAGGCCCCAAGCTGCTGTTGCTGAGGCTCTGTTTCCCCTCTGCCCCAGCTGGCTGGGGAACAGAGGCTGCCTAGCCATGGCTGGCATGGCATGATCCTTGGGGATGGGGAGAGCAGCACTATGCAAAAAGTCACTTTGGGTAGGGATGCCACTGAGCTGGGTAGAGACAATGTTATGGGGGAGCTGCTGCAAGCACAAGAGGAGTCCAGAGGCAGCAGGAACCCATGAGCCTGAGGAAGCCCTTCCAGCCTGCAGCCTTTTCTCGTGGCTGTGGGGCAGCTGGCTGGCTTGTGCCCATCCCCAGCTGCGTGGCCCTTCTGGGGCTGGCGCCTGGACGCTTCTGCTGGGACCTCTGGGGCTGCAAGGGGGGACTCCATGGCTGGGGCTGCATCCGGGGAGGGAGACAGGGCCTTGGCCACCCTGCACCTAGGCAGGCGCTTCCTGACCAGGGCTGGTTCCTTCACCCTCCTCTGTTGGGACAGTCCCCTTCGGAGCAGCACAGGCTCTGTGGGTGATTTTGGGCACTTCAGGAGCCAGCAGAGCAGGTCCCCTCATGTGGGAGCCTTTTGCTGCACCGGACTTTTTGAATGTTGGTGGGTGGAGGTTTGATCGGGGCACAGCAGACCTGCGGTGACCTGGGGAAGGATCTGCAGAAACCTCCCTAGGCGTTTCTTACACTCTCGCCTTGGCTCTGGGGATAAAGGGGAAATGTTCTCTGGTAGGGTGAGGTTTGGCCTTAGCACCCCATGCAAAAAAGAAAAAAAAAGCACTTTAATCCTTCTCAGCCAGCAGCTGGGCCCTGTCTACCACTCGGGGTGGAGGGACCACAGATGCCGTCACCCCCCAGCAGCACCTTTGCAGGGATGTTGCTCCAGGCCGGGGTTGGCACAGTCTGGATGGGGGCTCTTCCCTGAGCAGGGCCTGGGGTCACCTGAAGGATGGGGCTTTGCTGTAGGAGCCATGTTCACTGCCAGCCCCCTGCCTGGCCTGATGCTGGGTGCCGGAGGGTTCCCCGCTGAGCACCGCTCGGGGCTGTCGGGGGCAATGAGAGCCTGGAGCTGCGGGTGTCCAGCACTAGGCTCCCGGGATGGGGCGGGGGGAGCCCGGATTTCACCCGCTTCATGGGCGGGTGGTGTTTGGGGGCACCACGCAGAGGTGAGCGAGCACTTGGGGGCGCTTGTCCCACTCATTTGGGGAACCACAGGGTTCCCAAGGCACAAGCCCATCCCAGCCGCCTGGTCCATGAACGCAGGGAGATGCTGGGTCTGCCCTGGGAGCAGAGCCCTTCCCGGCACAGCCCATGCCATGCCTTTCTCAGCCTCCTGCTGTGGCAGGCGAGGCCATCTGTCCGTCCTTCCTGCTGTCCGTGATGCCTTCCTGGGGCTCAGAAGGGTTTGGGTCTGTCTGGAGCAGCACTTGTAGCCCAGCACCTGCTTGAGCCCTGCTCCCCATCATGCTCGCCCTGGCCCTTCTCTCAGCTCGGTGTCCTCTGCTCCCTTGGCCATATCTGCACTACGCCAGGCTTGTGTCTGTGGTTTGTTGACGGTGAATAATAATGCACTTTAAAAATAACGTGGCTTGTAGCCTTTGTCGTAATAAAGTGGTAGCGAACATCCTCCTGCGGCTTGCTGGCCTCTGTTACCCTCAGAAGCAGCCGGCAGGGGCACGTTCCCTGCCTGTCTTCTGCCTGCTGTGGGCTCAGTCCGTCTGTCCCCTCCCGTGGTCGGCACCCTGGAGCCCTGTGGGGCTTGTGAGCATCCCAGTGACACCAGCTACCCCAGTTGGCACTGGCTCAGGGCTGGGAGGCAGCAGAGGTGCACGGTGAGGGGAGAGCAGGACCAGTGCTTGTTTGTGTATGAGCGTAGCTGCATCCAACCCTAGCTCTCTGCATCCAACCCTGGCTCTCTACATCCCGCATCCCTCTTCGGGAGCGGGAATTGCCATTTTCTGTGCCGGTCCCTGCCCTGGGTGCAGGCTGAGCCATGGGGACGGGAGAGGAGTTGCTGCCCCCGCAGGCCCAGGCTGCCGAAGCGAAGGCTGGGAGTGTCAAACGCCGTCATTCTGCCTTTATTTGAGTATCTTCACATCTCATTCAACAAAACAGGTTTTTTTAAAAATAAAGTGCCCAGTGGAGCCAGGCCTTTGGGTAGATAAATGCATTTCTGTAACGTCGTCTTACCACAATACAGCGAGTGAACAGGAGCTTTCCCTGGGCTGGAGGTAATCAGCAGGACTGGCACTTCGTACAGAGAAGTAGCAAACTACAGACCACGTACCACGACACGCTGCCCTGGGAGCAGAGCCCTTCCCGGCACAGCCCATGCCATGCCTTTCTCAGCCTCCTGCTGTGGCAGGCGAGGCCATCTGTCCGTCCTTCCTGCTGTCCGTGATGCCTTCCTGGGGCTCAGAAGGGTTTGGGTCTGTCTGGAGCAGCACTTGTAGCCCAGCACCTGCTTGAGCCCTGCTCCCCATCATGCTCGCCCTGGCCCTTCTCTCAGCTCGGTGTCCTCTGCTCCCTTGGCCATATCTGCACTACGCCAGGCTTGTGTCTGTGGTTTGTTGACGGTGAATAATAATGCACTTTAAAAATAACGTGGCTTGTAGCCTTTGTCGTAATAAAGTGGTAGCGAACATCCTCCTGCGGCTTGCTGGCCTCTGTTACCCTCAGAAGCAGCCGGCAGGGGCACGTTCCCTGCCTGTCTTCTGCCTGCTGTGGGCTCAGTCCGTCTGTCCCCTCCCGTGGTCGGCACCCTGGAGCCCTGTGGGGCTTGTGAGCATCCCAGTGACACCAGCTACCCCAGTTGGCACTGGCTCAGGGCTGGGAGGCAGCAGAGGTGCACGGTGAGGGGAGAGCAGGACCCGTGCTTGTTTGTGTATGAGCGTAGCTGCATCCAACCCTAGCTCTCTGCATCCAACCCTGGCTCTCTACATCCCGCATCCCTCTTCGGGAGCGGGAATTGCCATTTTCTGTGCCGGTCCCTGCCCTGGGTGCAGGCTGAGCCATGGGGACGGGAGAGGAGTTGCTGCCCCCGCAGGCCCAGGCTGCCGAAGCGAAGGCTGGGAGTGTCAAACGCCGTCATTCTGCCTTTATTTGAGTATCTTCACATCTCATTCAACAAAACAGGTTTTTTTAAAAATAAAGTGCCCAGTGGAGCCAGGCCTTTGGGTAGATAAATGCATTTCTGTAACGTCGTCTTACCACAATACAGCGAGTGAACAGGAGCTTTCCCTGGGCTGGAGGTAATCAGCAGGACTGGCACTTCGTACAGAGAAGTAGCAAACTACAGACCACGTACCACGACACGTGGAACGTAACACCCGACAGGAGCTTCCGTTTGGTTTTTTTTTTTATACAAACCGATAGAATAAAAAAATCAGAGTGTAGTATAGAATATCCAGCAACAAAAAAAAAAAAAAAAAAAATGGTTAAAAAGGACCCGTACCTGATCGTATGAAAGCAGCATCTCAGCAAAGTGCGATGGCGTCATGCGCGGCAGCGGCGGCCGTCGCCCGCATGGGCAGGGTATTGCTTGGCGCGCCCCGGGCTGTGCCCCGAGGCTGGGTATTGCGTGGCTTCCGTGGTGGCTCTGGCTAAGCGAGCAAAGCAGCAGGTAATCTACGCGCAGACGTCGCTAACGGGGCGGCGGTGGCCGGGTGCACCC